TCTCTCTCTCTCTCTCTCTCTCTCTCTCTCTCTCTCTCGATAATGATCTCCTCGTGGTTGTGCCGATAGATCAGGTCGGGACGCTTGCGGATTTTCGAGGAGTTTCGAATGGAAAGCATCGGACTGAACAGGTTGTAGTTGAGCGCTTGGGACTATTGGGTGAAAGCCGCGACTTTCTTCGAGGAGCGACAAGCGACACACGCGTGTACAAGACAAGCGAGCGAGCGTGCGTGCGTGCGTGCGTGCGTGCGTGCGTGCATGCCGTGCGTGTGGGTGTGCGTGCGGGCGATGTGTCGCTGCAACGAGCGAATTAATGCGCTCGATTGTACCTGTGTGCGTGTGTATGCAAACGGCCGCGATGTGTGTCGCGAGATGACCGTGAGAACTTTTTAGAAACTAGCCCCTGCTACCCTGCCTACGGCGACGCGGTTAATGGATTGGAAAGCACAATGTGCGAACATTTGTTTTCTCTCGCGTCGTTAGCGAAATGTCCAGGTGTGTAACGGTGCAATGATATCGCGCTGGCAGCCACGGACGGACGCAACCGCGTATCGCCCGACGGGATGGGAGGCATTCCACGAGGAGGAGGAAGAAGAAATCGGCGCCTAATTAGCAAGATAATTGCCCGGGAAACATTCGCAAATACCTTTTATTGACGGCGTGGAAGATTTCTGTTTCACGGGTGCGTTAGCCGTTAATCTCCTTGTTATCGCCGGCTTTCGCGCTGATGGCGGGCTCTTCTCTGCAAAGAGATTGTGTTGCGTTAACGAGAGCATGTTAGGCACTAACCGGTAGTAGTACGCGAACCCCGGCGAGAACGTGCGAGTACCGTACGGCGAGAACCGTTTCAGCGCCCGTACCTCTGCTACGCGAGATAAGAGGGTTCCAGAGTGCGGAGATACGTTTTGCAATTCAAGGTCTTTCCGAGCGCGCTACACGATTCAGCGCGGGTGCGCGCCTGATCGACTTGCTTGCCTGCTTGCTTGCGTGCGTGCGTGCGTGCGTGCGTGCGTGCGCGCGGAGCTGATCAGGAATCAGCAGCTGTAGTCGCTGCAACGTGCGCCACCCGGGGCGAATCGGCGCGAAAGGCGAGGCGCACCGTTAGTTAGAATTCTAGCTCGCGCGAAAACAATCGACAAGTCCCGAACTTGACGCGTACGTATGTATGTATATACGGAGAGACGAGTCACGGCTGATCTCGAAGCGCGAATTTCCGGAAATATTCTTGTTACCTGCTATTTAGCACGTGACTAATAGCAGATAGACAAGAATATCGCCGTATCTGCCACTTGCTTTAGGACGGAGCTTTCTCTTTTCTCTACTTCATTCTATGTTCTCTCATTAACGTCCTCTCTGTTGCACGCAGCCCGCGATTCGCAGATCGGCAGATGCAGTCGCGTTCGGTCAGTTAGTCCCGGACACGAGAGAGACGCTCTCTCTCTCTCTCTCTCTCTCTCTCTCTCTCTCTCTCTCTCTCTCTCTCTCTCTCTC